AAAAAAAGTTGAATTTTATTCAAAAAATTCCTCCCGCTTTATTCTTACTTAAGGAAAGACGCACTTTCTCCTCCGTTTTGGGGGAACTAAGTGGCCACTTTCCGAACAGCTGTGGTATAAAATTGCCAATTTAAAAGACAATGCGATTTCTTGATCATAAACTGGATACCATAATAAAGTAATAATGAAGCCCGTCTATGTCCGTTTAATTTATTTTAATTAGTTTAGTTTGGAAATAACAATTAAATAAATTATCAAATATGAAAACATCGAGGATGACGCAGATCGTATCGTGTACGTTACAAAGTTAATTAAAATTAGGTGCCTATCTATTTTGATCCCGTGGGAGAGCGTGGTTTCATCAAATATCAACACTATTAAATAACCAGTTTGTTTTGTACCAGTTCTTATCCAAGTATTTTTAATTAATTAATGCAATATAGTGGCACTGATAAGGGAATGGCTACGTACTTGTTTTTATATATATTGTGATATCCAATTAATATTATAATATTGTGCGATTTTTTGCAATTGCGATAGTTTGTAACGACGGATGGATGTTTATTAGTCTTTCACGCAAAAACTACTGAACGGATTTAAAAGAAATTTGGTACATGGTTGGTTATTTTTTACACTTAGCATACATAATAGTTCATATATGTACTGATTGATGTAGACGAAGCCGCGAGGCATAGTTAGTAGGTTATGTATTATTTTCTATCTACTAGACATAAATAATATTGGTACTGATCCAATATTTATATATTGGGTTTTGTTAAATATTCTTGGCGGAAAAAAGGTCATTACTCATTGCGATATCGCCCGTACAGGTCAGATATCTATATTAATTTTTAATGGCTTTTTCATTTCGACATTTAATATTGGAAAACAGAGAGCATACCATGAAATGTTTTCCGAAATTTCGGAGCCGAACAAAACACAAATTTAATATTAAAATTACATAATACTTACCGTTTAAAAAACATTAAAAATATGTAAATATTATTCCTTGGGACTTTTATGGTAGGATTTATGACGAACGAAATGTGAAGCTCCATTTACTGGCCCGATTTAGGTATGAACAAAAACACGAAATTGAGTCCGAAACTTCGGAATTTCATTTTATGGTAGGCCCCCAGATATTTAACAGAATCGTTGTTGGACAAGTATATATATATATATATATATATATATATATATATATATATATATATATATATATATATATATATATATATATATATATATATATATATGCGAAGTTGAAGCGATTTCGCTACTATTCTATGCGAATTTGTAAAATATATCTAAAAATATTTATTTTTGAGTATTTTCGTCTAATATTATAAATGTTAAAGTGAGTTTGTTTAACACCTTTTGGGCCTCTAACGACTTAACTAATTCACAAAAAGTTGCAACTACTGGCAAAATACCCCCGAGGGGGAGGCTTATGTTCAACAGTGGACAGTTGGCTGATATGATGATGATTCCGCTCATGCGGATCAAGTCGTAGGTGAAAACTAATGTGTGCATTAATATGAAAATTAAAACATTTACTATTCGATTACAACTACACAACTTGATTACAATTGTATTTGAATGCAATTTGGAAGCTAAATAGGCCATAAACTAGATAAACACATAGAATTTTTCTATCTCAATTTCGTGTGAGCCTAATTCAGTTATAGAGAAATCAATTAGGTACCAGTTTGATTATATAGCAGACCCGCACGCAAGTTTTTATATGGCAAAATAGAGGGCTACTAGTCTTACAAAGTTCGGTGCTAGCAACGAAGTCGTTTAATAGTTTCACAGTTAGTGTGGGTTCGATTCTCGCACAATCGCACACGCACGTAAGCATGCGCGCACGCACGCGCGCACGCACGCACGCACGCACGCATGCTCGCGCGCACGCACGCATGTGTGTGTGTGTGTGTGCGTGTGTGTGTATGTGTATGTGTATATTCACATTTGTGTTTCGGTTTGAAGGGTGAGATATAGCGTGAATTTACTGGGTACAGAGGAATAACACCTGAGTCCGAATGGTAACGCATGGGGGTTATCATGGGCGTAACAGTATACTCTGTTAAGTCCATGGTACTGCTCATGTCTATAAGCGACGGTTACCACTTTTCATTAGGTGGGCCGTCAGCTTATTTGCCATTCTAAGTTGTATAAAAAAAAGCACCAGTGACAAATTAATCAAAAATTAATCGCGATGGTTTTAAGAAGGAACCGTGTGGAGGTCAAGCTGACATTTAATAGGTGACAATGAAATGGTAACCCTGCCTGCGCTATCGGTATACGCTAGCGAGGCACCAGTGAGGTATAATAGTGAAGATGAAAGCGAGTCCGTTAGCCCATTGTAACGAGTTCCACTAGAATTAACCACTATGGTTTTCAGGGGGAACTGCGTGGAGGTCGACCTGATAGAGTATATCGCTGCAATGGGGCTACTAGTCCCCTTATTAATAATGATGCTGAAGATATATAACAAATGCGAATGTAAGGTATAAATCATCCTTGATATGTGTGGATAAATACAAACTAACTTAGTCACTGTGTTAACGGTTTAAACGCGCTGTGCGGTTTAATTAAAATTTTAGGATTTAACTTCCGTTTTAACGTAGATTGTGTCAGGTTAACGTTTGTAAAACGAACGCAAGTTTTTGCAATTTTAAACGGATTATAAAATGGAAAATTTTCAAGTAAAATATAAATAGTCCTTTGTCTCGGATTCTGACATGCTCGGCGAAATGTGAACAGAGCGAGTGTTACTTTCACCATTATATAATTATAATTATTATATGAGGGCTACACTGAAAATTTTTAGAACTGGCTACTTGAGAGCAATATAATAAAAAAAATTGTTCAAATTTTGAAAATGGAACTCTTTACAAATAATACTGAGTATATTATTTATTCGTTTATCATTAATTTTACGGTTCGTATCGGCCCGCGTCATGGGTATTCTTCTCTACGAATCTGTCCGATTCTAGAATAAGGGCATACGAGTATGCGACCCCGGCCTCCCGAGCCGCTGCAGTGTTCCCCCCTTTCCTTTCCCCATTAATCCCTTATTCCTCTTATTTGCCAATTTACTTTACGCATTTCCATCGGTTCCCTCCTTTTTCCTCAATCCTTTTCTCCCTACCGTAGGTGGCGGAAACCACCAACAAATGCATTCCCAAAGAGGGTTGACGTTAGGCAGGCGACCGATCGTAAAACTATAAGCCAAATCTTCTTGTAATATGGATAAAAACATATTACACCGACCCCAAATAAATTAGGATAAGGGTAGGAAGAAGAACAATTATTATATCAGCCGTTAGACGTCCACTGTTGAATATAGGCCTTCCCCATAAAGGGAGTTTTGGCAGTAACTGTCACGCTTGGCAGATGGGTTGGCGACAGCAGTTAGACTTTTGGTGATGTTTTAAGATGGACGCTACTGTCCATCGCTTGTTTATTACCTAAGTTCCCTTAGTCGCCTTATACTCGTACGACCCCCACGGGAAAAGAAGGAGTGGCCCATTCTATGCCGGGACCACACGGCAAATACCATGCTTCTAACTATTCTATTATTAGTATTAAGTTATTTATTAGAGAAATTTCGTTACATTTTTAATAACTAGTTTCGTTAGTTTTCTTTTAATGAAATAATACGGTCCTATTGACCGTATGGTTCCGGTATAGAATAAGCCACTTTCCTTTCTTTTCCTTCTTTCCTTTCCTTTCCCGTGAGTGTCAAATGACATGACTAAGGGAAGGCTAGGAGTGATCAGCAGCGTCCCTTTTAAAACCTTTCTTTAGAGATTTTGGAAACAGCAGTTAGGCTTTAGCCTAACTGCTGTTTCCAATCTGCCTGCCAAGTATGACAACTACTGGCAAAACCTAGGCTTACCTAGAGGGAGGCTTATGTTCAGTAGTGAACAATTGAAGGCTGTTATGATTAGACGATTTACTCCAAAATGATACCACTTTTATAGTTCCACTAGTGTTTTTTTTATATTTATTTACATAACAAAATTATAGTTATAAGACATTACACACAGAGATACAAGAATGGTATGCAAAAATTCAAATCATTCTTATTCTTTTTTTAAATATACTATATGGCTTCTTTCCAGCCATGACCATACCGCCCACCAAGGACTATATGACAATATTGTCCTTAATCCGCCCACCATGAATAAATACTTCACAAAATTAAGATAACTAAAGAATAAACAATGTCCTTGGTAGAAATTTAACAATATTACACTACATATAATAATGAACAAACATAACATAATACTTTGAACTGCTTTAGATCTAAATTATAGTTATCAATTAATGTTAGACGCTCACTCTTAAAATAAACAAAATAACTATGGTAGAAAACAAAGTTTTGATGCAGCCCTTTTTATAATGCTGTTTTTGCAGCGTAAACTAACAACACGTGTAACACCGTCTATTCCCGGGTGCTTTTCAACTATAAAACCATAAAGCCATCATATGCTGGCGGAAGATCATTCTCCATCACCAACACTATGTCACCTATTTGTAGTTGTGGAACCTTATGATTACATTTATATCTATGATGAAACCGAAGGAGATACTTAAGTAAACTTCTATATATTAATGAGAGTATAATGTAAAAACTGCGTAAAATAATGTACTGATGATATGTACCATTAATATTAGTACATTGCGACTGTCCATCATCTCTTAGAGTTTCATCTTCATCATTCCACGGATTCGAGAAGGTAAGTACACTTTTCTTATTACTAATCTTTCTTTTTTCTTTCAGGTTCTTTAATTCATCAACCAGGTAAGTTTCTTGAAGATTCTTTAGATACTGTAACTTTTAACGAGAGATATGCTCTTGAGAAAGGACTGTATATTTTATGAAATAATAAGACGGTCGCTGCTAGTGGTAGAGAAAAATATAATAATCAAATCGTGACATTGTCAGATATCAAAAAACAAAATAAAAATATAAAATTTAAAAATATTCTCTAAAAAGGTGCGTTCTGCACATGCTCCCCTCTTAAACAGATGGGAACAACCCTTTTAACAGGTCTACGAATTACGCCTGCCTGGGTATCGATGTCTACTACCCGTGTCACGCCGTCCCTACCTGGGTACAAAGTCGTAACTAGGCCTTTAGGCCAAGTACCTCTTGGTAACGTTCCGTCCACGACTACGACGACGTCTCCAACTGAAATTTGCGGCACTTGTCCTACAAATCTTCGTGGTGATAGTGTGGGCAAATACTCTGTAACCCAACGCTTCCAAAAGTGATCAGCCATTCGCAGTGCTCTTCTCCAACCAGATCTACTGCACATGTCACTGTCGGTTAAGTTGGCTGGAATAGGACGACCTGAGGAGTAGCCTAATATAAAATGAGATGGTGTCAGGGCTTCAGGATATTGTGGATCACATGCGACGTGCGTTAGGGGCCGTGAGTTTACCAATGCTTCTGCCTCGCAAAGTAGGGTGGTGAATACTTCATCGGTGGGCGATCTTGTATTGTTGCCTAAAGTTACTTTTAATGCTGTCTTTACAGACTTCACAAGCCTTTCCCATGATCCTCCCATGAAAGGAGCTGATGGAGGGATGAATTTCCATTTGATCATTTCACCCGCAGCAAACTCGGACATCGCTTCTGAATACAAGGCTCGAAGCTCTCTATTCGCGCCCACAAAACTGGTTCCATTATCAGAATGGATTTCTGAAGGTGTGCCACGGCGAGCTATAAATCGTCTTAAAGCCATTATTGCTGCATCTGATGAAAGCGAGTGGACGATCTCAAGATGGATTGCGCGAATGGTCAAGCACGTAAATAAGGCCACATAACGTTTCTCTCTCCTTCGACCAACTGCTACTGTTACAGGACCGAAATAATCTAGTCCCACAAACGAAAAAGGTCTACAATGGTGGGCAAGTCTGGCCTTTGGAAGGTTGCCCATAGGTGGTTGGAAAGTAGTAGATCTACGAATCTTACAAAACTGACAGTTATATGCGACTGACCTCACGGTGCTCCTAAGGTTTATTATCCAATATATTTGCCGCAATTCGTTCACGACCATTTCTGTGTTAGCATGAGCCGCCTTGCGATGGTAGTGTAATACAAGTAACCGAACAGCAGGATTCTTTCCATCGAGTAACATTGGATGCTTCATATCTTCTTGTATTCCAGAGACAGCTACAATGCGTGTTGATAGACGTAAAACGGAATTTTTATCAATAATAGCTGGCAGTTTCGATAACCTACTACGGTGTGACACGGGTAAACCGTTTTGAATACATTTGATCTCTTGTGAGAAAGAATCTAATTGACTTTTACGTAGCACATGAATTTCTGCCAAATGTAAGTCTTCCGCGGTAAGTGTGCTACGTATTGTATTGCGTTGTCGATCAACGTTTGAGTTGGATGGCGGACGAAAAGAAAAAATGCGGCCTTCTACTTTATGAATGAGTTCTATATTCAGGCCTTTTTTTCTTAATGAAGTAAGACGTAACAATGATAAGTAACGATGAGCATATGCTGTGGCACGAATTAAACGATTCCACGAACTAAAACGTTGTGCGTCTGCTGAAATTGGCTTATTCGACTCAATTTCGTTAATGAGATGTATGTGAGTCTCGGGTGTATTAGTATGGATGGTTTGATTATGGGAAACAGCAGGTTCCTTAGGCCAATCAGAAGTTAGAAGAAATTCAGGTCCTTTTATCCAGCGTGAGTCTGAAGTTAAAGGGCCTCGGCTTAAACGTGTTGAATCATCGGCAACATTATAAGCGGTTGGAACCCAGTGCCACTCACTAACATCTGAAAGTTCTATTATCTCACCTACTCTATGAGCTACAAATGTCTTGTATGATCGTGCATCATTACGAAGCCAACCCAAAACGTTCATCGAATCGCACCAAAATGTGCGCTTAAGTGGTTTAAATTTGACTGCTTCTACGATGGTTGTAGCTAGACGTGCGGCTATTAATGCAGCTTGCAACTCTAATCTAGGAATACTAGATGGTTTTAAAGGCGCTACACGTGACTTGCTACAGATCAATGCAAGTTGTACGTCTCCATTAGGATAAACGAAGCGCCAATATGCCACCGCTGCGTAAGCCTGAGCGCTGGCATCGGCAAAGACGTGCAACTCTATTTGATTTGGTTTCAACCTATGAAAGTTATAACAGCGCGGTATTTTTATCTCGGCGGTAATAATTAAATCTTGAAACCATTCCTTCCAGGCTATGGCTTCAGAAGGAGGGAGCTCCGTGTCCCAATCCAAATTCATACGCCAAACGTTTTGAAATAAAATACGACCGCGAATAACAACTGGAGCGAGGATTCCTAATGGATCGAAGACTCGCATAATTAAAGACAATATAATACGTTTAGTAAGCGAACTAGGCAAAGTTTCTTGATTACTTTTAATAGAAGTGTTAAAGCCTATAAGGTCGCTAGATGGGTGCCAGTATAATCCTAGAGCGCGGATGCATGGTGTAGACGACGGAAAATTCGCTAAGTTTAGGTTAATATTAGATACCGATTCTGATAAAAGATGATTTGGCAACAGACGGAGCGCTTTAGGGTCATTGGATACCCATCCACGCATCTCTAAGCCTGCGCGCGCATGAATGTTGACAATATCTGCCGCCAACTGAGCTGCTTCATCACTAGAATCTACTGAACCGATATAATCATCCATGTAAGTATCGTATATAATACCATGAACCGCGTCGGGATATTGATCTTTAAACTCTAGAGCATTTTTATTTTTCATATACATAGCTGTAAAGGGGCTAGAAACTGCTCCGAAGATCATTGATGACATTCTATAGGTTTCTATAGGATCAGTAGGGCTGTCGCGCCAGAGAAATCTTTGAGCATCTCTATCCTGTTCGATAATTTTGAACCTAGGGAACATTTCCTTAATGTCTGCAGTCATAGCTACTTTACCCTCTCTAAAACGAAGTAAAATGTCGATTAGAGATTGCAATAAATCTGGACCCGTAAGTAGAAGTGAATTTAAGCTAACACCTTTGATTTTTGCGGCAGCATCGTGTACTACTCGTAGTTTTGCCGGTTTATTGGGGTTTATTATGCCAAAATGAGGTAAAAACCAACATACAGAATTAGAAGAAAGTTCATTTTGACATTTCTCGGCATAATCTTTAGTAACGAGATCGCGAATATTTTGTTTATAACGCTCAGCATAAGTAGGATCACTGATCATTTTCTTTTCAAGACTTAAAAAACGCGATAAAGCAAGAGGATAGCTGTTAGGAATGACAGGATTATTAGATTTCCATAATAAACCGACTTCGAATCTACCGCACGGAAGACGATTAGCTGTACGTTCTAAAATTTCAATAGCGCGTTCATCATCTGCACTACGCGGTTCTTTCTTAGTAATTCCTATCGAATCCAACTTGTAATAATTTTTTATAAGATTTTCCAATAAATCTGTCTTGTTAAAAACTGTTTCATTACACTGAACATGATTCACTAAATCAACTGGACTAGTTTTACTACTACTAAAACCGAATAAAACCCAACCAAGAGCAGTGTTAATTGCAGCTGGTTGCGTTCTCGTACCTTTCCGTACGGATTGCGGTATGGTAAGATGCCAGTTATCGATACCGATCACAATTTTTGGTTGTGCATTCTCATAACATAAATAGGAAGCCAAATCGGAAAGGTAAGAAAATTTACTAATATCTTGGGGACAGACAGACTGTTTAGCTAATTGTAAATCTTTTATAGAACGAGCCTGCTTGACTTGATACGTCTTATCAACATGACAACCTCTAATATTAAAATCTACATACTCTATTTCTGTATGTTTTGATAACCCGCCGACACATTTTAAGAGTTTTGACAGTAGGTCCTCGGGCTCCAATTTTTGCAGCGAGCTCCGAGTCTATAAAAGTAGCGGTTGACCCATCATCTAACAAAGCGTAAGTATTCACACTACCACGTGGGCCAGAGATTTCAACAGCTATAATTTTTAAGAAAGGTCGATAACATGGATGTTGAACATTGCATAATGGAAGTGAGTTACTAGCATGAGCTATAAAATCAGTCGTTTGTTTGCATGATGATTCATCAGAACCTTCAAGTTCTCCAGATTGAGGAGTGGAAGATGATTCACCATGTTCAACCTCACTTTCAACCACATGAGCAATATGTAATAGTTTATGGTGTCTAGAATTGCATTTTTTATTGTTGCAGATTTCCTTAGAAATATTACAACTTTTATAATTATGTGAACCTTTTCTAAGACACTTATGACAAAGTTTTTTCTCATTAACAAATTTCCATCTGTCATCAACTGACAATGTCTTAAAATTATTACAATGAGATAAGCTATGATCGTCATTACAAAAATAGCATATCTTTTTATTGTGAGATGTTACACTAGATGATTGTTCATGAGTTTCAGATTGAAAAATGTATGGAACAATGGACGTGGATGGTTTGTTAATTGCAACCGAACGAATTTTGTTGCTTCGATTATAATAAATAGGTTCATCGAGGAGACCAAACTTGAGCTGTAGATCCACCTCTTGAGTGAGGAAAGAGGCTAAGAGCTCGAGTTTAGTTACCTCTTGATGGAAATGAGATGCTGCATAGTCAGTCCAACGTGTCCGTAATAGAGGTGTGAGTTTACTAAGAATAGATTGAAAAAGTTCTGGCGATTCTAAATAACATCTTTGTTCTAAAAGTTTCATTACTTCTACTGAATTACGAACTCGACAAGCGAATTTATGAAGGTCACTACAATCGATGTTGACCTTTGGCAGGGAACGCATCATTGCCACTTCTTGTAAAACAATTAGTTCAGGCCTACCAAACCTTGTTGCTAATGCTTGTATTACCTGAGTAGGGTCTTGAGCGGAGACTAACAGTACTGCTACAGCATCATGTGCCTCTCCCCGCAGCGCCATATTGATACGTGTTAGGTTGTCCGAGTCAGAATATCTTGATTTCGTGTTGTCATATACACGTTTGAAGGTTAACCAATCTAAAGGCTTGCCATCAAAAAAAGGTAGACGACCATCTCCAAATTTTACGTTGTGTTGACTTTCTTTTGAAAGTGATGTAATTGCTTCTGCTAACAAAGCTATATCACTTGGAGTTTTATTAATAGTGGAGGAAACCGGTTTGATTTTAGTCGCACTAGAACTGGCCCTCGCCGGGCTTGTGCAAACATCGAAATTATTAGCCACATTAGATTCTGTTAGGATAGGCCGAAGATATTGAGTATCTGTGGTAGTCACAGGGTTAAAGCTATTGTTCGGTATTTGTAAATGTGCCGCTAATGCCGCAGAACAATTGCTATTAGTAGTGGGTTTACTACAGGACGTATTAATTTTAATGTTCTGCGGTTGCTCATTTACTTCCACTGAGGGTATAGCCTCTAGACATGTGTCTAACCATTTTCGTACCTCTCTGTTAGAGATGTGACTTGAACGACTACTACGAGTACGTATACTACCTCTCTCCTCCAAGGCGGCGATACGTGCTTGTTTTTGTAGTTCTAAAGCGGCGCGCTCTTGTTCCAATACCACACGCTCGCGCTCTTTGGCACGCTCCAATGCAGCGCGCTCCAGCATCGCAATTTTTTTAGCATAATCCGCTTCTATTTGTAAGGTACGACTCCTTACAGTAGTTGAAGACCCTGAAACAGAACTAGCGGCGCCGCTGGGAATTCCAACGGACTGCTGAGCGCCAGCAGTTGGTGTGGAGCTGGTAGGTCTTCCGTGTTGAACGGTAGAAAATTGGCCTTGCTCCATACTTGCTGCGTTCGCTTTTTTAACTGATCGCGTCTCTACCACCATGGTTTTATTATTAGCGAGAGGACCAATATTTTAACGAGAGATATGCTCTTGAGAAAGGACTGTATATTTTATGAAATAATAAGACGGTCGCTGCTAGTGGTAGAGAAAAATATAATAATCAAATCGTGACATTGTCAGATATCAAAAAACAAAATAAAAATATAAAATTTAAAAATATTCTCTAAAAAGGTGCGTTCTGCACAGTAACCATTTATTCAAAAGTTGTATTAGTAATTCTTCCTGTAAACCTATTTCAGAGAGCCATAACTTTTGAATGAATATTTTTGCTCGAATAACAACAGGTGCTAACCATCCAACTGGATCAAAAATCCGAGAAATTTCGGAAATAACTTTTCTTTTAGTTACAGGTGCCTTCAGTTCAGGTAGTTGTACAACATATTCAAAATGATCACTACTTCGATTCCATGTAAGTCCTAGAATTTTCATAACACAATATATTTTTAATTGCATGCTTCCTTGTGAAGCTACATCTTCCTCATTATTTACTTTAATTAATTCTTCACTATTACTACTCCATTTCTGAAGCTCAAATTCTTCTCTTTTCAATAACTCATTAATCTCCTTATAGATTTGAATACCTTTTTTAACTGACTGACAACCTATTAGTAAATCGTCCATATAAAAATAATTTAAAACTCTTTCAGCAGCAAGAGGATAATTTTCGCCTTCATCATAAACAATTTGATGTAAACACCGAACAGCAAGGTAAGGTGCTGATGCCGTTCCAAATGTTACTCGTAATAGTCTCATATGTTGCAGTTCACTTTCCGGATGATCACGCCATACCAGACGTTGAAAGTTAGTATGTCTTTCTTCAACCTTTATCTGTCTATACATTTTAATTATATCAGACACAATACATATAGGATAACGACGCCAATGTATTAAGAGATGACGCAAGTCAGCTTGAAGAGTGGGTCCTACTAATAAATCTTGATTTAAAAATACGCCATTTGTACCAGGACAACTTGCATCGAAAACAACTCTTACTTTTGTAGTGGTTCTATCCTCCCGCACCACTGCATGGTGTGGTAAATAGACTGCTTCAGGATCAACTTGTTCAGTTATTGGTACTTTCTCCATGTGTCCTAATTCTAGATATTCTGAAATGACTTCAGCGTATTTAATTTTTAAATTAGGATCCATTGATAATCTTTTTTCTAGTTGCAGAAATCTTTTAGTTGCAATAGTTTTAGAATTGCCATATTTACAACTGGGATCATCACTACGGAATGGAAGATTAACTATATATCTCCCTGAACTGTCCCGCTTCGTAGTATTTGTAAATATTTCTTCACATTTATTTTCTTCTTCAGATAAATGTTTTTTAATATCTACACTGTTTTCAGCTTCCAATTCCCAAAATTTCCTTAATAAGTCATCTTCACTTACATGAGAAATATGCATACTAATCAGTGGCCTTTGTATATTATTTGTTTCATCTAAATTAACAGGGCCAGAAATAATCCAACCAAGCGTTGTTCGCTGAGCTATAGGTACACCTGGTGGACCTTTGATTACACCATCTAACAAGATCTGACTGTAAACATTAGCTCCGAGAAGAATATCGATTTTGTTTGGTGTATGAAATGATGGATCTGCCAGTTTGATATTTGAAAACTCCGACCACAGTTCTACAATAATTTGCCTCTCAGGGAGGATTGAAGTAAGTTTACTCAAGACAAAAGCTTGAACCTTAAACGTAAAATTGGGATCATGAAGTGATTGTAATGAAACCGATACCATAGACTTAGAGGTCAATGAATGACCCTGATCACTTCCTAATCCTGTAATGACGCTTTTGTGTGGAATCTTCTTTAAGGTCAGCAATTGCACAGCAGATTCAGTAATAAAACTAGCTTGAGAACCTGGATCTATTAAACATCTCAGTGTGATACCATTACCTGATTTCGATTGTGCGCTAACTAATGCTGTTGCAAGTAAGACTTGACAGTTTGAGGTCGAAACACAGGCTGTGACACTAGTGGATTGATCTACAGACGATGATGCTGTTGCATGTGCAACGACATCTTGTTCAACCGATTGATTTGCGATACCTGTAGTGTCGGTTGAATTGATATTGGTAACATTTTTTAAATGGAGTAGAGAATGATGCTTCCGTCTGCATAAACGGCAACGAGAGATTTGACGACAAGCAAATACAGAGTGCCCTGGACATAAACAGTTAAAGCACAAACCCCTGGATTGGACGAATTCGCGTCTAGTGTTAGTTTCAGTTTTAGAAAACTTTTTACAATTTGCTAAACGATGACTTTCAGAACAGTAAGGACATATAAAATTGGCTGTGTGATATACTTTAGAACTATTATTAATAACATTACTTTTATGCACTACATTAGACTTATACAATTTTGTATCAATACATTCTAACGCTCTAAATCTAGTTTCTAGAAAGTCTTGGAACTGCTTCAAGGTAGGCAACTCATCTGAGAACTCGCTGATTTTAAGTTCCCATTGCTTGCGAGACTCCACATCTAATTTTTTACTTATAATATAGATAACAAGCACATCCCAAGTACTGATGTCTATTCCTAAATTGTTAAGCCCATGAAGACATTCATTAGTAGTATCTAGCAACTCCTTTAGTGTACTAGCTGATTCAGTACTGATGCTTTTTTGATTCATAAACCTTTTCAGAATACACTTTGAAAGATATTTTTTATTATTATATCTTCTCTCCAACTGTTCCCAACAAATAGTATAATTATCATGTGTAATCGGTACATGACGTAGTAATTGCTCCGCTTTCCCAACTAATAATCCTTTCAAGTAATGCAGTTTTTGTACGTCATCTAAATGTTTATTATTATGTACCAATGATACGAACAGATCTCTAAAACTAATCCATTCTGAATATTTGCCTGAGAACGGGGATATAGATATCTTGGGCAGCTTTAAATTGCAATTAAGATTATTATTACTATTGTTTTGTTCGGAACAACTCGCACTTTCAGTACTAGAATGCCTTAAACTAGTCAATGTTTCCTTCAGTTGAAATTTGTATTCTATATATAACTCTTCAGTAGAATCATAGACGTTATTACATACGTAGGAACTAGCATTCAAATCTTTGTAATCTGTATTTTGAATGAGTTGTGTATGTGTCGAACTAAACTGACGCCATAATTCTTCTAAAGCTTCTAATCTAGTACCAATATAATCTATGGAACGAAGTCGCTCCTTGGGTGCCTTTTTGAAGTTGGACTTTGCTCTACTAATTCTTTCATTTAAATCAAGCTGTACTTTTATGTATGAATCCATTGTATAAATTTAATAATAAAGTTTCAATAATATCCGAAGTTTTTACAAGTAAATATTTATATGAAATATTTAGAGTAAATTCCTTAGTCTTCTGTAATTAGATAAATAAAATGTACTCACAGTTCACCAGCACTTATCACTTACAACACTATGTTTAGTTCTTCTTCGATGTCCTTACGGCTGCAATACGACGATACAATGTTCAGCAACAACAATTGACGCTCGCCGACTTCGTGCAAAAATGCGATTTTAAATTTGTCGTTAATCCTCGATACTCCGACTCGATGGACCAAAAAATAGACGATTTACTCCAAAATGATACCACTTTAATAGTTCCACTAGTGTTTTTTTTATATTTATTTACATAACAAAATTATAGTTATAAGACATTACACACAGAGATACAAGAATGGTATGCAAAAATTCAAATCATTCTTATTCTTTTTTTAAATATACTATATGGCTTTTTTCCAGCCATGACCAATGATGATGATGATTTTCTAATAACATATGTATATATTTCCATTTATAACTATAACAAAACCATTAAATATGATTCAGAATTCCATTTCAGCTTAGAATTGTAAAAATACAATAGCATTTGGCCGGTTACAATGACGCTTTACAAAATTAACAACCATTCATATTGAAATTGTAAAGTTTTATCTTGACAGAATACTAATTAATATACATACAAAAATACATTTCTTTGTTCTTTTTCTTTATTTATTTACGTGGTAATTGGAAAAAAAAAACTGGTAGGTATTCACATAAATAAATGGCTACATATCACTTTAATATTTTACTAGCATACTGATCCGGCTTTGCACGAGTAGATAGCATTTTCGATAGTATGTTACTCACTAACAATGTAGCTTTCTATAGGTGAAAGAATTTTTAAAATCGGTTAAGTAATTTTGGAGTTTTTCCATTTTAAACAAACAAACAAGTTTTTCCTATTTATAATATTACGTACTATATTATCTGCAGTTCTATACTAACAGCATTTGCTCGTAACTTTATACATATGGGCTTTAGAAGTACATAGGTATTTACTTAGGTTACTGAGCAGAAGCCTTCCTCATAAGAGGAATTTTGTCAATAGTTGCCATGCTTGGCAGGCGGGTTAGGCTTTTAGACATTTTGTTAATTATGCTCTCGTTTAATTATCGTAACAAAAAAACTTAACAGAGCTGCTGTTAATTAATAATAATAAAAAGTGCTCTACATAACATAATTTGCCTGGGGGAAAGATTTATTTATTTATTTATTATTTATTTATTTATTTTTATTTTTAAAAGGTACATCAACAGTGTAAATACAGACATTGATTTTAATTGATATACAGGGCTTGCATCCTGCATTCACACCAATTACAGATGTACACAACATTTTCTTAAGTCATCGATTACATGTTAACAAAACTGACACCAACAAAACAATAAAAAAACATACACGTGATAACATAAGAATACTTAAAATATATAATTATTAAAATTATTAGAATTGGGATTGTTAGTAATGCGGATTACCAGTCCCATTGCTAGCAATCGATCGACCTTCACGTGGTTATGTAGAAACTATCGTGCTGAACTGCAGAGAGCAGCAGAAGCAGGCCAGTTAGCTCGTCGTGATGTAAATTCATCACGACGAGCTAACTGGCCTGCTTTTTCATTCTTACCTATCTTCTCTCACTG